TACCACAATGTGAGGAAAGGGGACCCCCATCCCTGCTTCATAATAATGAGCACTGGAGACTCAGAGCTGTGAAAACCAGTAATTCATCGGGCACCAACCCAGATGAATGGCGGGTGCCTGGGTTGGAGCTCAGAAAACAGGTTTTATAACCTTGGATGTAGGTGCCTTCCTCTTTTTCCTCATTGGTTGAGCAATCAGGGCATTACACTATTATACTTTATCTGCCACTCTGTTTCTCAACAAAGACTGTGCATGAAAGCTTTTCAGATGCACGGACTTTGCCACACTTGCAGGTCATTAGGCAAGCTTGGCTTGTTAATAATTCTCTACGATGAACTTTTTAAAAATATTTTATTTTTTTATTTTATGTGTATGAGTGCTATGCCTGCATGTAGGTAAGTGCACCTATGTCATGCAATGCCCACAGAGGACAGAAGAGGCTGTCGGATCCCCTGGAACTGGAATTATGGACAATTGTTAGCTGATATGTGGGTGCTGAGTCATCTCTCCAGCCCTCTATGCTGAACTTTAAGCTTGGGTGTAGGTAGTCAGACTAGCAGGTGCTAGCAGAGGCCCAGTGTTTTTCTGGACCTAACCTGACTGAAGGCACTTTTGTCTTGAAAATGGACCATTATATTTTTATTTCTTATACACAAGTTCCTGCACTGTATTTTCTACTTATTCACTACCCAACTGTCTTCCCATGTGTCCCTGCTCCTGTATTGCTGGTCTGTTACTTCCCCCCTTTTGCTTTCATGACATATATTCCATTACTCTCCTGTCCCCACTTTCAGACCTCTTCCTTCCATACTTCCCCTCCAGATTTCATGTAGTATGTATATATATGATCTAGATGTCATACATATGATCTAGATCTAGATTCCACATGAGAGAAAACATGCAGTATTTTTCTTTCTGAGTCTGGTTGATTTCAGTTTAACACAATGACCTTCAGTTCCATCTTGTAAATATCATTTTTCTTTTCTTTGTCTTTTTGAGACAGCGTCTCCTTGTAGCACCAGGTGGCCTATGTAGACCAAGCTAGTCTTGAACTCAGAAATCCGCCTGTCTCTCCTCTGCCTTCCGAGTGTTGGGATTAAAGGCGTGCACCAGCACACCTGGCCATAAATGTCATGATTTCATTGTTATTTACAGTTGGACAAAATTCCACTGTGTATATGTATCACATTTTCTTTGTCACTGGCCCATTGATGAGTGTGCAGCCTGGCTCCATATGTTAGCAATTGTTGAATAGTGCAGTAATAAACATATTTGTGAAGGCAGTTTTGTGAAGTGCTGACTTAGAATCCTTTAGGTGTATTCCCAGGAGAGGTATTGCTGGATCTAATACAGTAGGTCCAGTTTTATTTTTTGAGGAACCTCCATACTGACTTCCACAATGGCTGTACCAGTTTATAATTCCACCGGAAGTGTATGAAGAAGAACATAATACATTCTTTTAATGTCAAGATTTATGTCTCAATTCCAGGCAAAGTTTTCTGTATTTTGTCTCTACATTTTTTTTCTTGGCCACCAATTATTTTAAAATATTATTTTTATGTGTATGAATGCATTGTTTTCATGTGTGTAAGTGCACCCATGTTGTATAATGCCCGCAGAGGTTAGAAGAGGGCATCAGATCCCCTAGGACTAGAGTTAAGGGTAGTTTTTAGGTGCCATATAGGTGCTGGACTCGAACCCAGGTCCTCTATAAGAGTAGCCAGTGCTCTTAACTGCTGAGCCATCTCTCCAGCCCCTTAAATTACTTTAAAAATTCTTCTTTTAATTGTCACTTTAAACTTTTTCTATATGATCAATCTAGTTTTCAAACATGTTAGCATGTTTTTTTTTTTTTCTTTTTTCTTTTTTGGACAGGGTCTTCCTATGTGGCTCAGATTGGCCTTAAATTCAGGATCCTCTGCCTCCACCTCTCAAGTACTGATTATAGGTATGTGCCACCACATCTGGGTCTTTCTATTTCTAACTCATTTATTTCTCCTATGATATTCTTTGGTTATGCTGTTCCGTAGTCTGCCTTTTCCTCTCTGTTGTTCCATCTGCTCATCTTTGAATGCATGTTTTATGTATTCATGTTCTTTCTAAGCTTCTTGAGAGTATAGTACACCTGCAGGAACTTTTGTTTCTTGGATTAGCTTTTCTTCCAAATTGGTTCCATCTGTTCCACACATGGCCCTCCTTTCTGATTATAGCACATTTACACATTGCTTGCTACATCATTTTAAATTTACTCACATTTAATGTGGGTAACTGTGTTCAGGCCATTTACTTTCATACAGTGCTCATATATTCACCTTGTCATATTTCCCATCTTATTTGGCATTTCCTTCTCTTTTTTTGAGCTTAGGTTCTATATGCTTTCTCATGTGGGTAACATTACAATTATTTAACAAGCAGCATGACACAGATATTGACCACAAGAACAGAGGCTGGCCATAGCTTTTAGACACGGTCAGAGTTCCTTGCCAAGTCTGATGTTACTCCTGTATGTGCTGGTCTGTGGGGTGGCCTATGGCAAGGAGCCTCTTGTGAGAAGGTGGGCAGAAGAGTTTGAGACACTCAGCATATCTACCTGCTGACATATAAGCATTTTGTTACTGTGACAACCCACAGCCATAAATTGTTGTATCAGTCAAATATAAACCCACCCCGGTAATATCTTGTGTCTGTACAGGGGAAGACGGAGGCATGCGTAAGCCTGTATATAGCTGTTAGCTTTCTGTCACTGTAACAAAATACCCAACATAATCAACTTATACAAAGAAAGGTTTATTTTGGCTCAGAGTTTTGGATGTTTCTATCCATAATCAATTGGCCTTGTTGACTTGGGCCTGAGGTAAGGCAGTACATCATGGTAAGAATGTGTAGTAGAAGAAAACATATCACAAGCCAAGAGTGAGAAGGCAGGCAGAGAAGGGCTCCCACAATCCCTTTCAAGAACACAACTCCAATGATATAAAGACCTTGCACTAGGCCCCACCTTTCAAAGGTTCTCCTGTCTCCCAATAGCACCAACAGGGGACCAAGTTTTGAACGTGTGCACATCTGGGGGACATTCTAGAGCCAAGAAACAGGCTTTTACTAAAGGGACTTCTTATAGATTATTCTGTCTTCTGATACCTGCAGTAAGTCCTGCATCTGAGGTAATTCTTAATGGAGAGATGGTTGGGGTATAGCTATTTCCCCTAGGTATGACATGATCATGGGTCTCCAAGGACCAGAGACTGCTTTGGAGACCTACAGAATAACTTGGCCTTGAATTCACAGCAAAAAATATCTCTGAGACTCCAGCTATCTACTCCCTCCTTCCCCCAAGTTGCATGTGGTCTTAGGGCAGGGTGCTAGAGTACATCAGAGATGGAAGGTTAACTGAGAGGAACTCCATGAGCAGCTCTCATGAGGTCATTATCCATGATAGGGGTGGGACTTCTCAGTGATATAGTTGTTTCTGAGTCACCCATGCTCCTATAAGGCCAATGAATATATTTTACAAACACGCACACACACACACACACGCACACACACACACACACACACACATGGGGGGGGAGAGAGAAAGAGAGCGAGAGAGATCTCAAAGTATTGCTCAAGCAGCCAGTTGAACTGAAGGAATGTGCATGGTATTGCAGCATATCTATCTTTGTCTATCTGGATGACAGTACTAACACACTGGAAAGAATCAGGAAGAATGAACCATTTGAGGTGACACCCACATTGTAAAACAGTTCTGGAATCTTCCTATGGAGAGAGAAGGCACTACTAATCTCAGGGTCAGCAGCAGCTACACAAAAACTAGAAAACACCAAAGAATTGGTCTCAATGTAATTTAAAGATTATCCTCAGGAAGTCTGGTCTCCAGGGCCATGTGAGTTTGCAAGGACAGCTGAGAATGGCCTAAATCAGAAACTAGGTAGAGAGGATCACCCCATTTTCCTCAGTGACTGAGGAAACCATAGGAAGGAGGTTTGGCCAATGAGGCTCAATAGACTGGGGGAGAGGGTTGAGAGGCTCCCATCTAAAGTGATCCCATGAAGGACTCTGAATATGTAAGATTCTAAAATCATTTTGGCAAGTTGAACTCTAAAGCTGAAACACAATGTCCTAAAATTGGCCACACACAAGTGTCAGCAAAGATGTGGCAGCTCTGTTCACTAGGGTTCACACAGTAGCCTACCTACAATGTGACCTGCGTTTGTCCTCAGCGCTGATGCCAGATCATCTACATTCATTGGGCATCAACTTGAACCTCATGAGCCCAAAGGCTTCATTGTACCTCTAGAATAATGACATATATGTGACATGTGCCCACAGAAAGGGTCAAGGGCATCTTCTCTGCTCACATGAATATAAGAACAATTAAATTATCAACTCTCAGAACTCCCACGCTTTAATCTGAAGTGTGTACTATCTCTTTTCTCTACTTAATGAATTTTGCTTCTCTCAAACGTCCCCTAAAATTCTTTTTGGTGGCAGTCAAGGATCTGGCTTTACCTGAGTGGAGTGCCCTCAGGGGAGAACTCCCCAGGCTCCTGGCAGCAGTGCTGGGCTGCCTCTCCCACTGCTGCTGAATTCTCTGAAAACAGATTTGTACTTTGCCAAAGAAGAACAGAACTAAACCTGAACAGAGCTAGACTTTCTTTTCACCAAGAGAGATGTCATTACATTAGCTGATGCTTCAAAACTACCTGGAGGTTTTAGGGTACTTATAAAGATTTTAGAGTGGGCATCCTGTGCTTATAGCCTGGCTCCATTCCTCATTAGTTGTATTAGGCAAAGGGCTTCCCAGTCTGTGCCCAGTTCTCCCATTTGTAGCATGAAGGTAACTACAGTATTTGCCTTATAGTTGTTAGAAGGGAAAATGTGTGAGTATGTCAAAGGCTCAGGATGATCACCAGCATGGCATGCATGCTCCATAAATGATACATACTATTGGCACATAAAACTAAGCAGAAACACATAAAAAGTCTTTGAGGAACACTTAATAAAATATTCTGAAAATATGTTTATTGTAACTAATGGATATAAAATCTGACATGTTTTCAAACATTTTCCAAAGAAAGTAAAACCCTCCCCGACTTCCCCATGAGATGGAGAATAACAACTTGGACAGAGAAGCAAACAAATTTACACATGGAATTTTCATTCAGCAGTTGGTCCTAAAAGGCTCTAATACATTATATTCTAAGTAAAAGTCCATTAAATTAAGCATCCATCTGACATTTTTGGAGATCAACTTGTTTCCTATTGGCATTACGATATTCTCTCAAAATTACAGTGGGACAAGAACAGGTTAAACAAGACTTTGACAGCTACTCAAAGTGCATGGATCTATGAGACTAGGAACATTTGGAAGGCTATTGAGTATGGAACTGAACACTAACTTAAAAACAAATCCAAGGTATCTATGTATAGTTTAGCCTTTGGCATCTGGTATAACATGCTTCTTCTTTATAGAGACACAGTTCTGTTCAATCTACTAATTGGAGTAAAGTTCTCTAAACACATTTCTCATCTAAAAAAAGATTGTCCACAGCCAGTTTCACATGAGGTAGTTGGGCTGTTTAATGACATTCTAATGAAATTCTCATGACATGTGGGAATCATACATTACACATGCCATGAGGCTGGCTCATTGGCTATTTAGATCACCCTTATCACTGACTCCATCTACACCTGTGAATAGTGAGCCACACAAGGGTCTCTGTGTGGATGAGATCAGGCTATCCATCCCAGAATGGGGGGACCACCCAGTCCACAGGTGTACATAAAGTACGGAGGGGGAATACTGACCAAACTTTACATGAGACATTTAAAACAAGCAGATTTGTTTCATATAGCTTGCAAGAAAACATTTTTTACTCTGAAAGAGAAGTGACTCATAACGGCCCAATTTGTAAGAATTTTGAAAACTTTCACTGCAGAGCAGTGGCATTTTTTTCCTTTGAGGAAACACTATCTATAGACAGTAGAAGAGAGAGATCAATGCATGTGTCACCTGTACCAGAGAGGCATCAATGACCATTTAATCATGCCCTAGGGTGCTTGAATGCAGCAGTGCAACAAGAAATCATGCAAATGGTCATTGTCCACAGGATACTGACTGACTAGACAGGATGGGACAGGGAACATTTCCGGGGAAGGTCTGGTGAAGAGTATGCTTATGGAGCTGTTGAAAGGACTCTTAATGACTTTGTTATAGACAAACAGTCTATAGATGTCTAATAAATATTATGTCCTTACTATGAAACCCCTGAGTAAGCAATTGCACGTTACAAAGGGTCATACAGAAGTAGAACGTATTTCTAAATAAAGCGTTTTCTGTACATTTCACAGGGATGGAGGTCTGCTGCACACAGAAATGTGTACAGACTACAGTATCACAGAACAACTTCAGGTAAGGCCCTCTACAGTCAGCTGTAAGATCATTTAACAGAATGATGGCTTAATATAGATTTTACTTAGAAATTCTACTTCTAAAAACTTTCAAATTTAAAAAAGGTTTGTATTTGACCTTAAAAAAAAAAAAAGAAAGAAATGCGAGGCTGGGGGAGGGGAACTACTTGTAAACCTATGACTATAATCAGAAGCAATTAGTTTGAATCAATGATTCAGAAATGCACCATTATGTAGCCAAATGCCTATAGGACATAGTAGTTTGGCAGGAAATACATAAAAAAGTTTTCCTCCACAAAATTTCTAAAAACTGTGTATTTACCTTGCATTGCTCACAATCCTTTGACTTCTCTATTGCTTTATCTGAAATTTCTTCATGTCTATTACTTTTATAATTGGACCAAGTTTCCTTAGGAAAAACTTCAGCTCACTTCCCTACTTAAAATTTAACAAAGTGTACTTTATTTATTGACCCTACTATACATTTTTCTTAATTATAATTACTATTCTGAAGATATAAAGTTGAAAGTGTTAGCTTTTTTCGTATGTTTATGGAAGCAATAACCAAAGAAGGAAGAGAGAAAACTTTCCCGATGGCACTCCCTCATCCCAGATCCCCTCTCCCAAATGCATGCATTGTGACACTCACTTGCTCTTACAGCTACAAATGTGAACATGGGTTCTGTCTGAAGTTCAGCAGTCTGCTTAGGTTGGTGACAGATGCTGTACCTAGGCTTGCCGCCGCTGCTGCTGCTGCTGAGGAAGATGCACAAGAGCTAGAAGTGAGGATACATGTGGCTTAAGAATGGGGGCACTGCTGGCAATTTCCAACAGCAGAGAAAAGAGAAAAATGACAAGACTAAACTAGGGAGTTCAGATGTTCCCCACCATGGAATGACACCAGGGGATGCTTTTATGCTCAGGGTGAGTTGAACATAATATTAAGTCACTATTCATATATTCCAGTGAATGCTACACTGCAAAGCCAATTCCCCAGAGCATGTGTACTTAACATTCCCAGAGCATACTTCTGAACTCCCTGCAGAGCTGTGTCCCTTCCTCCTCAGTTACCAGTTGGTTTCTACCCCTAAAGGTATCCCTCTAGTTCATTTTTCACTGGGTTTAGCTATAATCAATCAGACTGGTTTTTAAAGGACATAAGACTTGGTCATGATTGAAAGGCCATTGTTCAAAAAACACACACTGATCCCAGCCAGTGTAGAGCTGGGCTGCCACAGGGTGGGGTAGGGTAGAGAGGAGCACAGATCTGATGGAATCTTAGTAGGGTAATGCTTCATAAGCACAGAGAATGCTACTTAATTCTCCTAGTGTCTAGGAAGACACATTTACCTTTGCTTCAGCTTCTTGCTAAGGATTGTGTTAGTAAAGGAATCTGAAAAATAGCAATGAGAGCAAGGTGACTACTCTGTCAACAAACACACGAGTGTGTTAGGGTGAAGACATCTTAGGTGTCTTAGAATTCTTGAAAGGGCTCTGAAGAGCACTTTAAGGATCTTTTCCATTGCTCCTTCCTTATAAAGTAACTGCAAATCAGAAAGATACCTAAAATAAAAAAGCAACTACTGATCCAGGTGGAAGTTCTCTGCCTGTGGCAAGGTTCAGGTCAAGAATTTACTGTATAATTTTAGGTTCAATGTCCGGTTGTTTAAAGATCCTTAGTTTTACACACCTTAGGCAAACAATATGCAAAATATGCAAAATACTGATAAACCATTCCCTCTTCACATAGTATTGGAAAAAGTGGGTCTAAAAATGGAAATTATTCAAGTGATTCAAGCTATATGGTCTGATCCTAGATGATATTAATCTTTCCTCAAAAAACTGAGTGAACTCATAGATAGTACCTAAAACTGTGATCTGGGCAGGGCACCTTTCCTTTTGTATGCACTCAGAGCCTAGGGTACAGACCTCTTCTAGGAGACCACAGGGGTCACCTAAAGTGACAGAAGTCACCAATAGTTGCTTGGCATGACACTTTCCTTGTAGCATTGTCCACTGATAGCACAGGGCCTAAAGCATCCTCTCTCAGAGACAAGCAAAGACTCTTCTTTTTCCCTCTTAGGAGGCGAAGTAAAAGGCAGGAAGGCCAATTAAGCCCTGCCTCGCCCTCACAGTCACAGTAGCCAGAGGAGACCCACATGAAGTTCTTGTGGGAGTGGGAGCAAAGTGGCATGCTCACCTTAGCAGCTGCCAACAGCAAATGCTGAAATAATGCAGATGACGTTTCAGTACCTTTCTCCATTTTCTAGGTTTATTTTCTAGAAGTTCTTGTGCAAGCAAAATGCTTGCTTTGTTTTTTAAAAAATATTTTTGGAGGCCAGATCTTGTTGGCCTCCAAATCCTGGGCTCAAGTGATCCTCCTGTCTTGGACTCCTGAGTAGTTGAACTACATGCATCATGTGCCCAGCCCTCCTGCTTCAATAATTTGAGTAAATGTTCTTTTTTTTTTTTTAAAGATAGATGGCAAAATCAGTGCCTTTCCCTGCACAAACTTCTGCTAAGCAGAAGAGTCTCCTGCCCTAGGGATGTGCAGCAGGGACAGCATTGTACAGAGCTGTTCCATTTACCAGTGTCTGTCAAATGAATCACCTTCTACCATGAGAACTGCTTATGCTGAAACATCCCTTCCTGTTACCAGGAGGAAGTAGACTCTACTGGGGAAGGCACTCATGGCTCTTTTTTAATGTACACTCTAGGTAGCTTGGGCCACAGTCTGAGCAACACTCTCTGTAAAGAATATATACCTACTGACAAATGAATTTGCTGTTCTGTATTGTTGCTCTACTTGAATTTGTTGCTGTACTTCTCACTCTCTATTTAATTACTTTACTTGAATGAGGGCCTCTTCTTTCTTGAAAAATAGGAATATATCATTTAATTCTTGCAGAAGACTGGGAATTTTGAAAACCAGGATTTAATTGAGTGATTCTTCAACTTTGTGTACTTAAGTGTCACTTGGGAAGTTTAACAGGTAAATTCTTAAATCACACCTCCAGATCTGGGCTCTTTAAGCAAATCCTAGGAATCTGTTCTTTGAAAAAGTACTTCATGTTTCTTTGATACAGAGGTGATTTAGCTCACACTTGGAAGCCACCTGGCTCCTCTGTTGAAGAGAATACATGAAGCCAGGCTTGACAGTATGTGCCTCTAATTCCAGTACTCAGGAGGTGGAGGATCATGAGTTTGAGATCAGCCTGAGTTACATAGCAAGACACCAAAACAAAACAATACAAAAACAAAACAAAAAAAACCCCAAAGAAACTCCATGAGTATGAGCAGATCTTCCTACCTCTAAACTTTACTTCTGAAGTAGGATAAAAGTCCCCTTGAGTGTCAGTTTTGCTGTGATGTCTAATTCAGATAATTCACATGAAATATGCTGGCAAAAGATGGCATGTGTCATCTTAAATGACTTCACCTTTCTATCGTATCCTTCAGTACAGGGTGGGTCACACCACTCATCTCTTTCAGCCAGTATCCCATCTGTCAACAGATGGCAGTCCTTGTTCACACCAATGCTCAAGCCTCTTCACTATACAACCTTCCTCACCAGCAGAGCTACAGAGAAGGGGGGACCCACTGAAGAAAGTCTAGGAAAATGAACTCTTATAGAATAATTACTTCAACAAAGGCGTTTATACTCCCTCCAGTGTTTGGTCCAATTCTAAGCTGTTTTAAATAATATGGTCTATGTATTACATAGTCCTTGATACAGCTTGGGTTTGGGGGGCCTAGTAAAACTAATAATCAGAACAATAAAAAACAATACCAACAATTCATCTGCCAAATTTTCTCTTATTACTTGCTACTAAAGACTGTAACATCTATGATTTGGTTTTCAGTAGGCTCATTGAAATGAAATATATAGCACCTTGAGTTTTAAATACATGAAATACATATGCATTAAAAAAATTAGATATAAAAGCACTACGTTTCATTCTTCCTGTCCATTCCCCAAGAAAAGGGGTTAGAGTGGGGTGAAATTGTTGCTGGAAAGTAACTAGGGCAACACAACACTTTAGCAAACTTTATTCCCTGAAGTTAGGAGGTGCTGTCCTGTAGTCATCACACCACCTCATCAGACTCCAGCCCATGGATCTCGTATAAAGTGTCCAGTATGGCCAGCTGCTTTTCCATGGCAGGGAGATAAAGGCTGAGGTCCCTCTGCATGCCAATACTGAAAGCTTCTTTCTGGTGGTCACCTTCCTTTATGGTTAATGCAGCCACAAAATCTTCATAGGATGGAGCTGCCCTCAGAGCTAACTGCAAAAGAATTGCCTATGAGAATTCACATCACAACCATCTTTTACACTTACTCTTACACACACACACACACACACACACACACACACACACACACAAAGAGCTTTGGTGAACAGGGGGAAAATATAAATACCCTCATAATTCATATTCTGCTTAAAATTATATTTTAAGCACCAAATCAAATAACTTCAAGTCTAGAAAAGGCAAGGGCATACTTGGCCCAAGTTAATGATGAATAAAGCCACTAATTTAGGGATTGCTAAGAGAGAAGGCATTGGAGAAAAATCACACTCATCCAGTGTGATCCAGACTATTCCCCCTTGAATTCTCACAATTAACCAGTATGCTCATCATCATCTGTCTTTTGGCATGTGTCTAGCCTTCCAGAGAACCTCAATTTGTATCTCAAATCTAGTTCATTCATCTTCATATCTTCTACTGCTTCTCAGCATGGATGATATTTCTTATACTCTCTTGAATATTTTCTAATAAGGAAGGTAATTTGTAATGGCTAATAAAGATTGATAACTAGACAGGAACTACAATTACCCAGGAGACAAACCTCTGAGCATATCTATGAGGGAATTTCTAGACTGGTTGAGGGAGGAAGACCCACCCTAAATATGGGTGGCACCGTGGGCTGAGGTCCTGGGCTGACTAGAAAGTAGAAAGGAAGTGGAGCAGCAGCATTCATCTCTCTCTGCTTCCTGACTGTGGATGCAAGGTGTCCAGGTGTCTCAAGCTCCAGCTGCTCTGAGGAACTATATCCTTAAACTGTGGGACAAAAATAAATCCTTTTCTTAAATTGTTTTTGTCAGGTATTTTGTTGTAGCAATGAGAAAAAGTGGCTAATATAGAATACTGATACCAAGAGTGGGGTAGTAACTGCAATAAACCCGACCTTGTGCTTCTAAGCTCTTTGGAACGGGTTTGTAGGAACAAAGCAGAAGAATTTGGAATTTTGAAATAGAAAACCCTCAGAATGCTGTAAGTTAGAATATAACGGGATGTTCTAGGGGGAATTTGGAAGACTAGAGTGTCAAAAAAATGTGAACCAGTGGAAGCCCAGTTGATGTGGTTTCAGAGGAAACAAGAACTCTATTAGGAACTGGACTAGAGGTCATGTGTGTTCTGATAATCTGGCAGCTGTCTGTGTACTGAGACTATAAGTGAGGCTGAATTAGAAAGTAATGGACTAATTTCTTTGGCAGAGGAACTCTCAACATGTGAAATGGTTACTGCCTGTTACTCTGATCCAGGTCTATAGTCTGATAACAAAGGGGAGCAGAAAGGTATGAAAACTGTGCTGTTTGGCATGGAAAGGAAGTTCAAAGTTGCAGAGAAGGCCAGCACTGAGAAAGCGACTATAATTGTTAAAGGGACTAGCACTATTAAAAAGAAACCCGAGACAATAGGAAAGGTGCCATGATGGCCAGACACTAGCCATTAAAAGCTCCATCTGGTAAAAATGCAAATTAACCTGAAAGCAGACCATGAACTAAGAATGCCATCAAAGGCATTCCCTGCTGGAAAACAACTACTTAGGGAAGTATTTCCTCAAGGTCAGTCTGTAAAGCACACAGGGGCCAGGCTGCATCTTATGCTGGCAGAACTTGGTAGCATGATTCATGCAGTACTAGTTTTACAGGCATGGTAGATGCAAGAATGAAGGGGTGATGTGGGCTTGCGTCAAGATTCCAAAAGGCCACTGAGGCCACTGCATGAAGCTATGAATGTGAAGCCTAAATTGCAACGAAGACCTCAGGATGTTGGAGATACTAGGACCATGAGATACTCATTGGGAAAAGTTGTAGGCATGGAGTACAGGTGGTCCAAGAGAGAGGCTATGTGTCCTGCCAGCAGTAGAGCTGGAGGAGCAGGGCTGCCCAAACATTTGGAGGGCAAATAATTCCATCATGAGCCCCAGATGCTCGATGTGGAGCTGAAGGATTTGGTGTGTTCCCTGATGGGTTTCAGGCTTATTTTGTAAGGTCTGATAATTCCTTGCTATGCTATCATTCCTTCCTTTTAGAATGAGAATGTTTACTGTGATTTACTCAGACTAAATAAAAAGGAGAAAGAACAGCAACATTCATCATTCTTTGCTTTCTGACAATGGATGCCATGTGACCAGCTGCCTCAAGCTCCCGCCACCATGACTTCTCTGCCATGATGGACTGTACTCTCAGACTGAAAGCCCAGATAAATCTTTCTTCCTTAAACAACATTTGTCAGGTATTTTTTCAGAGCAATAAAAAAGTAACTAACAGAGCTAATGTTTGCTGTTTGCTTCTATATTGATGTTTTAACTCAGTTAATCATAATTTGTAAATCATTGTAAAAAATCAGTTAATCATAATTTGTAATCATTTGTAAAAATCATTTGTAATCATTTGTAAAAATCATGCACAATTTACATTTCTACTCAATGCAAGAAACATAATATGCCTAATTAGTATCAGGGCCGGAAATGGAACCCAGATTGAAACCAGTGCTTCTCAATCATATGACATATCTTCCCAGTGGAAGATTTCCTAGGTTCCTTACCCTACCTCCCCTTCTGTGGTCTATTACTGGCTTACTAAAATCTGCTTTCTGAAATTCACTATGGCTCTCCTGAGATGAAGAGAGAATCTACAATAATTTTCCTTGTATTTTGAAAGCCTTTGAGAATCCACTCTCCCCATTTCTACCCTAAGAATGACTTGAATAGTCACACTGGTTAGGCACAGGCTTAGATGAAGCAGACCTGTATTTGAATTTCAGGTCTTTCACACACTCATTTGAGGAATCTAAGCCAAATTAGAACCTAACTTTCCTCAATTATAGAAAGTAGCTAAATACTATTTTTCTTATTTTAAAGGCCCAGGAAGACAAATGTCACATGTTTTCTCTCTGCACATGTTAGCTTTGAATATTTCATTTGGAATACCCACAGAGGTTAGGAAATAAGTAGTTTTGTGTGTGTGTGTGTGTGTGTGTGTGTGTGTTTGTGTATGCCAAAGGAGGGAAGATAAAACACAGTGGTACAAAGGTGTAAAAGGAAATGCTGGAACAGGAAGGGTTAAATTAGGCGGAGGACAGGGGGGCTGAGTAGAGGAGGGAATAAGGAGAGGGATAACTAACACTACAGACTTTTTGAAAAAAGTCATATGGAAACCTACTACTGTAGAAGCTTCTTAAAACATATACATGCACACATATAAAGAGTTCAAATGGAGTTACCTTATAATGGGACAAAAATGCCCCTACTAGGCATCACATGTTAAATAAAAAGCCTACTGCCAGAAATTGGTACCTCTTTTGGAGTTATTGATCTGTGGGTCCCATAATACTGCAAACATTATTGCCTGATTTTAGTAACCTTGCAGACCCTATTGGTGAAGTTACTACATACTTGAGTCAGAACCTGGAGGAATCACTGACCTCGAAGCTTCATCTCTACTGACTAGGTTTCACAGTGCTGAAAAGTTCTATGCACACTATTGGAGGAAAAAAGTAATCATCAATGTTACTAGCTATGACTCCTGTAAGCTACAATAAATGACCTAACTGGCAAGACATGCACACTCATGCAATAGTGACATGTCATGGGAGTAACCAAGCACTTTCCCATTGGACTTAAGACCTACTCCACAAGATGAAACCATACTTGGCACTATTCATGGGGCCATGAACCTCTGGCTAGACAGACCCTAGGCTCTAGTGGAACAACCTACTACTATTATTCTGCTAAATGAACATGGTATTAAATTGACTCTTAATGACATCGTTATACTCCTAGATTAGTGCATCTCTCAACCCTTATCAGAGAAGCCTCTTTCTGCAGTAGATAGTGATTAACACAGAGACCCACAAAAGATTAAGAGACTTCAGAATGTTCAGCCGTAAATGGAACACTTCTATCACACCACTCTTCCAAAGATTCAGGGATCATTTCGGAAGACAGGACAGGAAGACTGTAAGAGCCAGAGGCAGTGGATGACTATAAGGAAACAGTCTTCTGGACACAACAGGGCAAATGCACATATGAACACACAGTGATTGTGACAGCATGCACAAGACCTGTGCAAGCTCAAGGCAAACAAAAATCAAAGCATGGAGAGGGGAGGATAGGCACCAAGTCCCACCCCTTCCTGAGAAGTATTGGCAACTGGTAAGTAACTGTTGGAAGAGGGAGAGTCATTTTTAAGGGAGTGGTCCCCTGCTAGGTTGATCATGGTCCAATGGATGGTCACATACTAAAAAGCGTGTGGGTAGCACAACTTGGACTTGATGGATTTAAAGAAAAAATTAGGACACAAAGTTGGGTGGATAGGAAGTTGGGTGGATAGGGGGTAGATCTTGGAGGAATAAGGGAAGAAGAGGTGAATATGATCAATATATATAGTATGAAATTCTCAAAGAATAAAAAAAGATTAAGGTTATATAAAAGTGTTTAGTCGATAGCCTGGCACATAATAAATACTTAGACAATAGTATGAGTACAAAGAAGAGAGACAGGAAATGAAACATAATGTGAGAAAGTCTTCCATAATTGAAGGGCAAGTCCTCCAATTCAAATAATAAAGAAAGGGAAATTGCTTACCATGAAAAATTTTACAGCATGAGGGAAAGGATCATAAAAGCATCTTGAAAGGGAAGGATGGTTTATACATAATGGAATAAGAATTACATTGAATTTTCTAGTTGTGATTGTGGAAGCTGGAGGACAATAGAGCAAGGCCTTCAGAACTCTTAGGGAAACAATTACCAGTTGAGAATTCTGTCCATGGTCAAATCAGAACTCTAGGAAAAAGGGTGGTGGGATCAGTGCTAAGCTCAGCTCTCCAGACAGGCTGAGGAGGAAACCAAGAAGGCCATGTGATGGCTGGCTATGAACCAGCCTGGTGGCAGAACCTCGGCTGACGTTTGTTTAAAGACTTTTCACTATTTGAAGATAAAAGTTCACTATTTGGTGGCAAATGAGTCAAATTCCTTGAATGGAAAATCATTTTGAGTAACAGATTATCTAACTGGCACACTAGAAAATTCAATAAGCCTTCCAAAGTAGGGATGACTTGGGGAACAATCCTCAGGTTGCAAGGGCCAGTCAGACTAGAGAATTGACTCATGTATTGATACGGCTGTTGCCAAATGCTCAAAATAATCTATTTTTTTTCCTTTTCCTTTTTTTTTTTTTTTTTTTTTTTTTTTTTTGAGACAGGGTCTCCCTTGTAGCCCCAGTTAGCCTGAAACTCAATATGTAGACCAGATTGGTCTCGAACTCATAGAGATCCACCTGCCTCTGCCTCCCAAGTGCTGGGATTAAAGGTATGCATCACCATGTCTGGCAATAATCTATATCTAATACCTTCAAAACGTTCTTATTTTATAACAGCAGATATGCTATGACCTCTGTCTGGAGGTTTATTTATCTATAAGCAGGGAAAATAAGAGTCATCTCAGTGTCAGGAGATTAATAACTTTATGTTTCTCAAATGCTTAAAATAATGTATGTGCATAATAAATATTTCAAATTGTAAGTTGTAAATGTAGTTCTTGGTATTTGATATAGCAATTCTTTCAGGGACCTATTCTGAGGAAGTAAGAATTAGAAAAAACTGCATGCCAACAAATGCTGTGTTGTTTCTAAGAACACACATAAGCAACTCACATCTCTAACAGAGAGAACTAAACAAGTTATGACTCTTTCACACAAGGGAAGTATGATGCAGTCACTAAAAATAGTATTTTTCTCAGACTCTCATGACATTAAAAATGGTTATAATAGAGGCTGGGGGAATAGTGCTTGTATAGCATGGATGAGGTTGAAGGTTTGATCCTCACCACTACAAACAACAACAAAAGTCATTGACAGAATCTATTAAGCATGGGCAAAGAATACAGAATTATACAAGTTAAATGTAAAAAAAAATGAACTTATGACATTAGATAATTATATACACATACTATAAATATGGATATATAAATACAAACTTGTATAAGTAAACTATATATTTAAAGTAATATATAAGCTAGATCAATATTTAAAAGACTAAATAGAAATATACTTTTAAAACGCTAAGAAGATAAAACAAAAATGCTGGAAAGAAGAAACAGTAGTAAGAGGAGCCAAACACATGATACAAATACCGTCACCATGATAACAACTGTTTAAAAAGAAATTCCTAGTAGTGTCTCCTGACACACTTAATGCAGGTAATACTTGAAGATAAAATTCAACTGAAAAAAACAAACTCAACAAAGAGCTCAGGATTCACAGGAATGAACCCAATGGGCAGCAGAGGGAGCTGTTAGCTGGAAGTTATCACCATCACTGGGCAAGGGTGCAGGATCACCACTTCCTTGCCTACCTCTCTGCATGGACACCCGGCTTTTTAAGACCCTCTCAGAAAGACAACCACTTCAGAAGCAAAGCTCCAGGGTCACTAACACTGGAGAGAGAAATCAGACCCTTTCACTCCTAAGTCTCTGCTGGTCTTTGTGAGTCTAAATATTTTCTATTGCTGACATTTTCATACCCACAAACATAAATAAGTTGGCAATTAAAAAAAATCTTGCTCTTAAAAATAAAGCAGGTACCGGATGTGGTGGCACAAGTCTTTAATCCCAGCACTTGGGAGGCAGAAGCAGGCAGATCTTTGTGAGTTCAAGGCCAGCCTAGTCTACATAGCGAGTTCCAGGACAGCTAGGGCTGTCCAAAAAAAGACCAAAAAAAAATTAAAAAAAAAAATAAAGCAAGCATAAATAACACACACACACACACACACGCACACACGCACGCACACACACACACACGCACACACGCACACACACCACATCACTTTGTTTTTGATACAAACTTCAGGGGACACAGGGGTGACTTACCGCAAAAACCCCTCGAACTACCCAGCCATGGTGTTGCCGTAGTGTTTTGCCATATGCATTATCTTGAAAAGAAAGAGATTCCATGAGGAGTGAATGATGAAAGCTATGTGGTTTGTATGATGTACTATTTAATGTATGCTGCATGCTACTGGCATTAAAAAAATCTAATTCCAAGATTTTTACAGTTCTCAGAGTCCTTCAGAAAAGGAGCTTATATGGATTTTCTCTTTCCCTTTCTTTTTCCCTTCCCCCTTCTTTTCTTTCTTAAGAAAAATAAACATTTCCATACTGTGGTTACTATATCTGAACTTCAGCTTATTATAGTGAAGAAAGTTCATACGTATAAAGGAATAAGGAGGGAGGTAAGGATGTAGAAAAATCATATTTAAATATAATTAGAACTATAGTATTAACAGCTTAAACCATTTCAGGATATAAAAGTACACAGTATAACCCTAAGCCAGGGCATAGCTACCTTCCCTAATCATTTATTTCCCCCTTTGTGAAATGATCTCTAAGTTTCTTTCCAATTCTAAAATTCTATTCTGAGACACCAAACATTTGTTTTAAATACCCTTATAACTCTGGATATCTGCATATTAAAGCTGGGAACCTTTAAAAATGTGTGGTGCTGTACACCTGAAGTTCTAGCTCCTCAGCAAGCTCGACAGGAGAGCCACTTGAGCCAGTTTGAGGCCAGTCTACCTAACACAGACAGACTGTGTCTCAATAAAGCAAGACAGACTCAAACCAAAGAAAATGTCTGGAAAGAACTGCTTGAAGTTAGTTACAAAGTAATTGGAAAGAGCTATTAATAAAAATCATTTCTATTTTAAACTCTAAAGATGACCACCTATTATTTTTTTGTCCCTAAATATTTTCAAGTGAGATTTAAAAATTGGTATAATTCTGATTTTAAAAACATTCTAAACAAAATAACTGCATTTTATGCAAGGGATGTATTCCTGTAATTTTGAGTAATTCAATATATAAAATTTAAAACCAATTTTCCCA